TTCACCTTTTGTTGTTCCGTGTAATTTTAAAAGTTCTTCTGAATAATTATAGTTTTTATTTACAGTTCTTATAAAGATAAGCATTTGACTTATATCGGAAATGTCTGTGCTTTCATCCAATGCTACCGAAAAATAGCAGCAACTATTCATAAGGTTTTCTAATTTATTAGTGACATGCATGCTAATCTCGTTTACAAGTTGGCTTACAGTCTGGTGATAAAGTGAATACTGTTTGAAATTTTTCGCACCATTTCATTGTCATTAAATGCTTGAGCCATTTTTATGGCACATTTTAAAATGAATTCTCCATCCAAAAATGGCTTTCTTTGCCTTTACTATTTCTAAACAAACTTCAAACGAATGCAGATACAGATGCTTCTTGAAATTTTGGTTCTTGATTAAAATAAATCGTTTTCTGATCCAGCTGCTTTTTCATATTTTTCACTAGTTGGTATTTTCATGTCTCGCATGTACGAATGATACTTTTTTCATGCATGGAAAGATAATGGCACTTCAAGTTATATTCTTTAACCTATGATTTGTAAACATTCCAAACACTGTGTTTACATTCTTGTTCAGAATAAATAAAAATCATCCCGCAACTGAAATTCTTATTTCGAGTATTTTTTTTTATTAAGCACTCTATCAATTACTAAATAAATAAGGGTGGCCAAATTGTGGACACTTTTGGAAATTTTTATGTTTTGAACTTTGTATGCTTATAGAAAACGTTACGTTTCACAAAATGCAAACTTGTATATATCATTTTAAAGAGAATTTATTACTGAATTCAATACAAAACACAAAATTCAATTATTTGCAATACAAAAAAAGTTAAACGATAATAGTTATCGATATACATTAGATAGTGATGATTGCAGTGAGTTATCAGTACTTAGTAGGGTACCCTTTATTTTTGATTACAGCTTCACATCGACGTTTCATTGAGCTGACAAGAGTTTTAAGCTCTTCTTTCGTTATTACATGATGCCAGGAAACAATTATAGCCTCAATTAGTTCCCTTTTATTTGATGGGCGCCTCATTCGGACAAGAGTTTTCAAACGGTGCCACAAATTTTCGATAGGATTGAGGTCAGGACTGTTTCCTGGCCATGACAACAATTTAATGCTCTTTGTACGAAACCACTCTTTCGATATTTTGGCCGTGTGGCAAGGAGCAGAATCCTGCTGAAAAATAAACGAAGCATTGTTGGGAAAGAGATCTCTGATGGAAGTAGAAGTTTTGGTTCTAGAATAGTGTCAATGTATTTTCTGGCATTCAGTGTCCCATCGATGACATGAAGGCGACCAATACCATCTGCTGACATGCATGACCAAATCATAACACTAACTGGGTTCTTCACAGTTGCTTGAATGCAGTCAGGATGTAGCTCTTCTCCTATTCTACGTCTTACATATTTTCGCCCATCACTACCGAATAACGATATCTTAGTTTCATCACTCCATATAACTTGTGACCACTGATCATCTGTCCAATTAATGTGTTCCTTTGCCCACTGTAGTTTTTTTTTTTCTTTTTTTTTTCGTTGCTGAAAATTAAGATAAGGCTTTTTTCGTGGAATTCTACCTCTCAGTCCAACATCTGTTAATCTTCTCCTGATTGTTCTTGAACTGACAGAAACACCAGCATCATTCAGATCACTTCTGATGGCCGCTGATGACATTTTTCTATCTTGGAGACATAGTCTTTTTATTCTTCTGTCATCAATAGATGTGGGTGCACCTTTTTCGGCCTTTTCCTTCTTTGTTTTTTATTGAATTTGTCTCCTGATATCGTAAACAAAACTTTCGGACTCCAGATGTAGTCACTGAACCACCCACCTGTCTTGCAATTTCAGCATAGGAAAGACCACTTTCTCGTAACACAATATTACATCTCTTTCTAGGTGTCCAATCTACTCTTTTATTTGATGTCATTGCTTCTTGACTAAATATTAAAAATTTTTACAAAAATTCCTACTTGTAATTGCAGTGTATAAGAAACAGGTCCTCCTTCTACAGAACAAAGCAAATAATGAATTGTTTCAAGTGTAAACATGATGTCAGCTTCTACTGGCAGTTACTAACATTTGATTGGTTCTCAGAACAAGAACAGTGATTGGCCAGGAAAGCTAGACATTACAAACCACTTCATAACTGTGTTTTTTTATTTATATTAAAGTACATATAACTTTTTTTGTATTGCAAATAATTGAATTTTGTGTTTTGTATTGAATTCAGTAATAAATTATCTTTAAAACGATATATATAAGTTTGCATTTTGCGAAACGTAATATTTTCTATAAGCATACAAAGTTCAAAAACATAAAAATTTCCAAAAGTGTCCACAATTTTGGCCACCACTGTAAATATTATAACACAGTCACCAATCAACAAATTCTAGACAAGTCTGTACTAGCACGATGAATCAACTAAATAGTGCAGGGTAGTGTGCGCATCACGTGCACCAACCATAGGTAAGCAACAAACAAACAAAAATAATAATATGTGGTGCCAACGTTAAGCCAACCATCATCAGAAGTTAAACGGATTGCTGCTGTATTCAGCCAGGTTAAGTGAAGTTACTCAAACTAAATAGTACCTACTTTAAATTCAACTTAGATTTAAATTTTCACATAGTAAAATAACTTGAATATTAATAATAATAATTTAGTAACATAAATTTATTCATAGTAAAATGTACTTGTGGGCCGTAAAAATAATTTGGCAGGCCATCTGCCACTTGGACAGCCCTGATCTAGAGAAAATTCAATTGCTTTCAGACGTCCAAAATCACTTTTTTGTTCATATAACGAAGTATTAAGCCAAGTTACATAAAAATCGTGAGAAATTTTAAGAATAAGAAAAAGTCGGGAGAAATATATTGTAAATCGGGTTGGCGGGAGAGCGGTCGAAAATCGGGAGTCTCCCGCCTAAATCAGCAGAGATTTATATATCACTTTTATGGAAAGATCCCATCAAAAAATAACTGCTGCTATGTGTAGTTTAAAGCTGACAATGGTAATTTCTTATTTTTATAAAGGATTTCCGGGCCTGAAACTTCTCAGAAATGGAATTCAAAAGATAACTATATGGGGAAGAAACCAGCACACACATGGTCTGCAGAAGTCTACTGACCTAACAGCCTTCTTGAGTCACAGGTAGTACAAGAAAAGGGATAAAGATCCCAAGAATACCATCCCTTAATGTGTTTTCTAATCAAAACTGGGATGCAGCTTAGACACATACTGTCTTCATTGTGCTTTGATGCAAGTGAAAAAAATTCTTATCCAATATTTTCTGAAGAGATAACTGCCTGAAAAAATAGGAATGTCAAAAAATAACCAACAAAAGATTTATACTTCTCAGTGATATTGCAGATTTTTAGAAACTCTAATAATTTTATCACTGAAATTACTGCATTATTTTGAATTAAAGACACACTTTTTATTCACATTTTTCACATATAAAACTAGGGTGTGGCTTAAATAAAAAGTAAATATTTTAACACCTTGTTTTTGCCAATCTTTCACTCCTCAACAATGCTGAGGTATAATTCATAATTCAAGTTCTGGAAATGAAGATCTTCACAGTTATAGTATATCCAAAGAGCATTCTCAACAAATTTGGTAGCTTATTGTATCTTAATACCTATTTAATTGAATGAAAATGCTTCTTATTTTTCAAATATTATAAAATAATTTTTTACTTTTGTTATTTTCTAGCTTTAAAATCCAACTGATTTTAAATTCAAACGTGAATACTTTTTAAAATTTCTTCCAATTTCTCAAATTCAGAATCCTACTCCAGCTTAAATATAAAGAAATATGGTACAAAGTCAGTGTTTTAAACATTATGGTTAAAAACTTGGTATTTACCACAGGTTCTACTGCAGTGTCCAATACAATTGCATAGCAATACTGATAATATTATAGCATATCAAGAAATTACATTTGTATGGGTATAATCACTGAGTACAAACACAGTTATAAAATACCTAAAAAGTACAATTGTCATCATGTTAAAGTATTATTTAAACATACAAAATATAAAAATAAGCATAAAAACAGATACAGTCAAAAGTCGTTAATTCGGACACCCATAATCCAGAATGATCTATAATCCGGACCTCAAAGCTAAAAACTTTCTGCGCATGCGCTGCATTGACACATGCGCATAGGCGTTTACGCGTGCGTGTAAGACCTTTACGACTGCGCATATGCATGTGCGCAAGCGCAAAATACGTTTTCGCGTGCGCATTTAATGTATAACGGACGGTATAAGCTAAAATTATCTATTTCAGTTAATGTTGATGATAGCGTTGTTCCTTAATCTTCGAATTGGATGCAGCTTATTATTTTTTGCAGATTGTAAGAGCGATTTTACAAAAAGTAAACTTGAACTTTCGATTATGTCAAATAGAATTTCCGATGCTGGAGCTCCCCAAAGGATCTACAAAACGAAAGTATGTCTCGATGTCCGTCAAACGAAAAGTGCAAAAAATGGATAAAGACATGAAGAAGGCGACAGAGAGGTTAGTGAAAACGAAAAAATTTCAATTGACAAGTTAGTCGGTATTCTTGGCACAGCAATTACGGGACTTGAACAGGGGAACTTTGTAACGGAACAAGAAATTATGTCTGTTTATAGAATTAAAGAGAAAGTATTATTACATAAAACGAAGCAACTTAAACAACTTACATTGAAAGAAATGTTTAATAAAGTAAACAAATAAATATTAAGCCTTTTTTTTTTTTTTTTTTTTTTTTTTTTTTTGTAAATTTTGATACCCTTTAGATAATAACTGTTCTTTATTTCATAAATTATGGTTTCATATTTTTAATTTTAGAATTTCTGCATGCCATCTTACCAGATTCAAACTGATGATCTATAATCCGGAATCGCCGAAGTCCCGACGAGTCCGGATTAACAACTTTTGATTGTATATGAAAATGATAATGCAATAGCAAAGACTGCAGGAACAAATAAAAGCTACTCACAGCAAAAACACAGTAATCACCACTCTTTTAATTGTCAGTTTTTATTCACCAGCCACTAAGACAGTTCATTATACAAAGAATCTGAGAAAAGGCAAAGAATAAAAATAAGTATTTAAATGAGACACTTTAAAAATATCATGAAAACAATTATTGTTTATAACCATATTTAAGATAAAAAGCTAAAATATTGTTAAAAATACAATACTATACTGTAAAAAAAACTACTATTTTTCATTACAAATTCTTGGTGTGAAGTAGTCATATAAATTATATTTTCTAAAGAATTATCTACTTCTAATAAAAAACACACTATAGTCACATATAAAGAGAAAACTTTATTAAATAAGATTAATCACAATAAGCCTTACCACATTCTCCAAAACCATAGTAATCTCTCTAGAAGCCAGACATAAATTTTAACTCATTCTTTTACCATTAAAGAAAATAACAATGTTGCCAAATATTAAAATTAAAAATTATACTTTAAAAACAAATACTATCCATTTCTCTGCTTATTTATGTTTAAAGATATAATTTTTAATTAGCCATTCTTGTCTATACTTTAAATAGTTCATCTTTCAATTTCACCCTAGGTAGATATTTTGTTAAAATGTCCGCTTCTTGATTTTGTGAACACACAAACTGAGGAATGATTTGATTAATTTCATATTCATTTTTTACAAAGAAATATTTTTGGTTAATGTGCCCTTACCACTTTCTTTTGCCATTTTTTATCCAATGCTTGACATTCTGTTCTAATTTCTATTGGTTTGTCAATTAGATCATCTTGCCCTAGTTCTTCAAATAAAATGATGTACCATTTAATTTCACATGCACATTAACAGAATGCCAAAAGTTCAGCTTCCATTGTAGATAGAGCAACTATTCTTTGTTTGTTGCACTTTCCATTTATGCATCTTCAATGGTACACCAACTTGCATATGAAGTAGCATTTAATTTTCCATTGACTGAATTGTATATTAAATATGCATTTTATGCTCTTTTAGTGTATCTAAATAGCCTCTTCACAACTTTGCAGTGTTTCTCTCTGGGATCTTGATTATATTTTGACAAATTACTTACTGCAAAAGCTAAGTCTGGCCTTGTGCCTGTTGCTTATTACATCAATGAACCTAATGCTTCTTGATATTTTGGCTTCAATACTGGTGGGGAAGATGCTATAGCATCAAGATTTTCACCCAATATTTCTGCAATCTTGACAGGCTTACATTCATTAATTTCAAAGTTTTTTAAGATTTCAGTTATAGGTTTCTTGACTGTGTATAAGTTTTCTAGATTCTTGCCCGATGTCTATTCCTAAAAATTTGTGTGTTTCAGTGACTTGTCGTAATGTAAACAATTTAGCTAGTTGAGAGATGAAGTCATATACTTCAGAATTTGAATTTCCAATAACCATTAAGTCATATACTTCAGAATTTGAATTTCCAATAACCATTAAGTCATATACTTCAGAATTTGAATTTCCAATAACCATTAAGTCATTCACATATACTGCTATGATAAGATAATTGATCTTATCATTATAAATATAAACACATCGATCTGACTTTAATCTAGTTAAATTCCTTTTATTAAGATCTTTACAGAATTCTTCATACCAGTATTTTCCTGATTAAGGTAATCCATACATACTTTTGTTCACAAGATATACTTTGTTGGGATCTGGTATAAATCCAGGTGGTTATTCCATGTAAATTGGTTTATCCAAGTATCCATTTAAATATGCAGTTTTTGCATCAAAAAATCTGATTTTGTAGTTTTTGTAAACTGCAATCAATAACAATGTTCTAAAGGTTGCAAGTCTCATTACTGGAGTAAATCCATCTTCATAGTCAATTCCTTTTCTTTGATTTAAGTTCGGTTGCTATTAGTCTTTATTTGTAAAATCGCTTCTAAATTACCCATTTCATCCCTTTTTGAGAATAACCAGTGGTTTTTAATAACTTCCTTATCAATGGATCTTTCAACTAATTGCCAAACTTCATTAGCCTCCACTGAACTTATTTCTTCTATCATTGCATGTAGCCAGAATTGACTTTCAACAAATTCTACAGCTTCACCATTATGTCCTAGGTAATTCTTCATTTGTACTGTATGCTACATAATCTTTTAATTTTTCTGGTGGCTTTGTCACTCTCGCTGGCATTTTCTGCACAGAATTTTCATTACTATAATTTCCAGGTTTGTCATTTACTTGTAGATACTCTATTATTGGCATTTCCAATTAATCGTGTTTGGTCATGTTCAGCATTTGTGTTTGATGGTAAAATTTTCTCCGCTTCTTTATCTGTTGTATCATCTTCTCTATGATACCTGTCAGTTATTACTGAATTGTTTACACTGCATTAGTTTGTTCCTAGTAAAAAATAATAAGTTCTTTTAATATTTGATTTTTATCAAATTTTAAATAATTTCCTTTTAGTAATGGTGATTCAAGTTTCTGCTCATTAAATTTTACATCACTTCTTGAATTTTATTTAGTTCAGGAAGATAAATTTTGCATGCTTTTCTCTTCAAGATATATCACAATTCCTTTTTGAGCAATTAGATCCCTCTTTCTATGTTTTTCTCATCTTATATGCATAATCTTATTACATATGCTTCACATCCAAATCTTTAAAGATAGGTAATGTTAGGCTTGCATCCTGTATACAGTTCAAATGGTGTCATTTTTGTAACTCCCGTTATTCACATGTACAGCTACTTTAACGCTGTCAGACCAAAATTTTATCAGTAATTCTGCATCAATTAACATGGTTATAGCTAATTCAATTACAGTACTATTAAAACATTCAGTTTCCGGAGTACAAGGAGTTGTAAGTTCATGTTTAATTCTCATTTTTTCAAAAAATTCTTTTATATGTTTAGCTAAGAATTCACTACCATTATCACTAAGAATTCTTTTCTGTTTGTCTTTCTTCTTGGATGATAAGCTTGTATAACTCTCCTGAAGTTTCACTCTTCTTCTTAATTGTTATCACAAATATGAAATTATTGTAATCAGCTAACACTGTTAAAAAATATCAAGTTCTGTCTTTTGATTTTTCAACTGGTCCAACTACATCTATATGCCATAATTCTAAAATATCTTCAGATTTATTAAATTTTACACTTTTATACGATGTTTATGTCATTTTTCCTAATGTACATGGTTCACAATTGTTTTGGGAAACTTTTACATTTTCTAATCTAATGACCAATGAGTTTTTTTTTCATTTCTATTAGCCTTTCATAATTTATGTGACCTAGGTTCTGATGGCATAGTACATCATTAACATTACTAGTTTTAGCTTCTTTGATTATTATTTCCTTCAACTTCAAGGCCCACCAGCGGCTGAGTGGTAAAGATGCTGAACACTGGTAGTTCGGTACGAGGTTCGAATCCCGCCAACAGGCATTTTCGTGGTTTTCACCATGTGTAATGTGTATATGAGCCGGTTTGCCTTAGAAAGTCCTCCACAAAGGCATCCCTCCCTTTAGGCAGATAGCCCTCATGTGTTTGCCATAACTGAATAATCCAATCCAATCCTTCAACTTCAAATTTATTTCCATTTCTGTTAACAATATATAGAATGTTTCCATGTTTACTCATCACTTCTGCTTTAGTTTTGTTAAAAATCACCTTTAAATCATGGATCTACAATTTTTGATACTGACAGTAGATTTTTCATTTAAATTCAGTACTTGCAGAACATTTTCTACTCTCAAGATGTTCTTATTTCTATAAGTTTGCATTTTAGTGTTACCAATACCACATGATTTGATCATGGCACTTTTTTCAGCTATCATTATTTGTTGTTCTTCATCTTTAAAATTACTAAATATTTCTTTACTAGTTGCCAAGTGAGATGTGGCTTCTGAATCAATAATACATTTAAATTTTCTGTTCTCTTGTTCATCTATTTCATTCTTTTAACCATTTCTATCTTGATCAAGACATGAAGTTTTTTATGTGTTTTTAGATACTTCACATAAGCAACTTTTACATTATGGAAATTATGGAATGTCAAGCAAGGAAGCTGATTCATATTCGCTTTCCTTGCTTAACATTCCATAAGTTTTATTTGTTAAATTTCTCTGCTTTTGATGTTTTTGTTTGGTTTCCATTTTACGTTCAGTTGATTTGCAAATTTTCCACAGCTAAACCACTATTATTATTATTACTATGACATTATTTTATTAAATGTCCTAATTTTCCACAATTAAAGCATCTTCTTTAATATTTCGATTTTATTCAGTTTTCTTTTGTCTTAATACCTATTTCTTTTCCTCTTTATTTTTTTCTCCAGTTTCTTTTAAAGCTTGTCTAATTGAAGCCATATCCTTTTCTTCATTGTTTTTAATGCTTTTAACATCGAATTCAAATTCCTTTCTCAGTCCTTTTCATATGAAGTAAATCAATTCTTTATCTGTTGTTTCATCCCCCCACTTGAATACTTTTCAGAATTACACCCCTATTCATATAATCCTCTACAGATCCATTTTGACTCATTTTCAGTTGAGCTAATTCTACTCTAATGGGAACTCTTTACCCATCCAGAAAAGTGTCCATTATAAAAAAAAAAAAAAAAAAAAAAAAGGAAGATATCTATTTTTATTTAATTAACTTTGGGGATAAGCACACAACAAGCAGATCCCTAGTATTTCATTAGGAGAAGTAGTTTTAATACAGTTTAGGTACCCAGCTGGGCTATAATTAATATTGTTAAATGATTGGCATATACGCACTTACAACTTTCTGTAATTGCGGAATATAAACTGCTTCTCTCTGAACCATTTTTCTGATTCCAAGGTGGTCTGTAATAGGAGAATCATATAATTCTTCTAGACTAATTAAACATAAGCTAGCTGGGATAACCAGTCTAAATTTGGGATTCTCATTACTTACTTTCATACAGAATAACAGTTTATCAATAATATCATAATGTGCTGCTCTGTTTCTAATTACATTAATGTCCACATTTTCATAATTTTCTGGGTCTTCAAGATATGCATATCTTTTAACTCGAGGCCTGCCTTCAGTTCTCAAATAATAGTGTCTCCTGAATTAATTACTTTCAAGGTTACCATAGCAAATTTAATTATGTCTCCTTCTGATCTAGCCTAACTCTAGACAGTGCATCAGCAACCACATTCTCTTTTCTCAGGCGTGTGTTACATAATGAGGTAATATTCTTGTAATTCAAGGGTTCATCTTATAAGCTCAGGCAAAAGATTTTAGATGGAATACAGTCACAAGTCTTTAATCCGGACGTATACAAACTTTCTGCGCATGCGTAAATGCATAACGTGTTTACACCTGCACGTTTAATGCATAACGGACGGTGTAAGCTAAGCTAAAATTATCTATTTCAGTTAATGTTCCAGATTGCGTTGTTCCTTAATCTTTGAATTGGATACGGCTTATTATTTGCAGACTGTTAGAGCAATTTTATAAAAGTAAGCTTGAACTTTCGATTATGTCAAAAAGAATTTCCGATTCTGGAGCTGCCAAAGGATCTACAAAGCGAAAGCATGTTTCGATGTCCATCAAACAAAAAGTGGAATTGCTGCAAAAATGGATAAAGGCATATCCTCTGTTCCTCTAACCATTCCGAAATTTATTTATCAATTTCACGCTGCTCTGCGGGGAGGGGGGACGGCGCGGCACGCAATTAACTGGAAGTTAATCTGTCAGCACTATCCTCATCTTCAGTGCAGATGTTTTTATTTTATTCAGCTTATAATTCTTTACTAAATGTAGTATTTCATCTCTATGTACTCTGTCTTTGATATGATTTAAATCAAATTCCTCATCATTATAAATATCACGAATACACATCAAATAGTTTTCTGGTTGCAATTTTCTAATTTCGACTACACGTAATGTATGCTTTACGCATGCGCGCATTAAAAGAAATTTTTAATAAAGTAAACAAATATTAAGCTTTTTTTTTTTTTTTTTTGTAAATTTTGATACCCTTTAGATCATAATTGCTCTTTATTTCATAAATTACGGTTTCATATTTTTAATTTTATAACTTCTGCATGCCATCTTTCCACATTTAAATTGATGATCTATAATCTGGAAAAACCGATAATCCGGAATCGCCGAAGTCCCGACGAGTCCAGATTAAAGACTTTTGGCTGTAAAAATAATCGACGGCACCATGCTCTGAATAAACTGTACTGGTCACTTCCAAAAGTACACATGAAATTTTTTAACTACTAGTAGTACAACAAGAGTTTCTCATTCTACAGCTGTGTAATTTTGTTGAATTGGGTTCAATGTTTTACTAAAATAAGCTATTGGTTGACCACTTTGTGAAGGTATGGCTGTGATTTCTAAGTTTTGATGCACTGCAGGGAATTTCAGTAATGGAGCATTGATTAATTCCTGCTTCAGCTGCTCACGGTGTGTTCACCCCTGCCATCCATGAGAACATTTTTTTTTTTCTTCTTCTCAGAACCAGTAAAGTTTCAACTGTCTTTGCAAAGTCTTTTACAAAAAAAGCAATAATAGGAACACATGCCCAGGAATGATGCCAATTTTTTCGCTGTGATGGGAATCAAATAATTTTCAATTGTTAAAATTTTAGATTTTTTTTAATGCTTTTTTTTTTTTGCAAGATTTTATATTCAAAATACTGAAGTTCTTTAGTTGCAAATTTACATTTTGAGACATTTACTTCAAAGTCAGCTTCATTCAGTAAGGAGAATACTTCTAAATGTTTAACATGTTCATCAATAGTTTCACTCATTATAACCATCAAGATATATAAAAGTACTTTTCCCTGGAATGGATCTTAGGACTACATCCATCATTCTCTGAAATGTTGCCAGAGCTCCGGATAAGCGAAACAATATTCTTAGAAAGGCATATACACCTGATTTCATTATAAAGGCAGTCTTTTTAATATCTTTGGGCTTTATGCCAATCTGAAAATAGACCGACGTCAGATTAAGCACTGTTGTATTCATGGATTTAATTCTTCAAATCATTTCATCTATAACTGGCAAAGCATATACCGCATATTTCATAATACTGTTTAATTTATGGTAGTTAACAAGAAATCGCCATGCCTTTGGGTTGGAATGAGGAAGATCATTCTTTTTCCAGCATAACACTACAGGTCTTGCGTAAGGGCTATTTGTCAGAATAATTTTATTTTTAAACACCTCTTGAATGTGTAGTTCTATAATTTCTTCTTTAATCCTATAATAACGAAAGGGCTTTGTCTTTACGGAAGCTGCATTTCTGTTATTAATCTCATGAGAGACGAGTTGTTTAAAACCCAATTTAAAAATCAAACAATTTATGAAATTTTCTTACCACTGCTTGAAGTTTGTGCTTCTCAACTTCAGGCAGGTGATTTCGGTCAACTTTAGGTGTTGAGCCCACCTTCTCAGCCCTGGCATCCATTTGCATCTGCAAAGTAGAAATCTTTTAATTTCAGTTCATGGCTGCCCACACGTAAAAAGGTCGACCCTCAGAATTACTGATGCTAACAAATCTTTTACAACAAGAAAAGTGAGTCACCACTTTCCCGATACATACACATTGCTTACTCTGGGCAACAACTACTTTCTGCCTGGTAACTTTTAAATTATGATGCTTCACAACATGTTTTCTAAAAAATTCTTGCAAAAAGAAGCTGCACTGTGCCCCAGTATCCAATAATGCAGTTCGTTGATATGTTATTTAATAAAATTTGAATTTCGGCAAAGCCAACTTTGCACAATGATGGTTACTTTGAGTACTGAGCAATTTTGCTTGAAAGGGCGTGACTGGACTCTCTTCTCGAGCATCCTAATTAGTTTAATCCTCTGAGCGTTATGACCGGCTTTATCCGGTCATCAGAAGTTTTGCTACTTGGCATATATTAGCTTATAATTTAAGATGTTTTGCTTTCTTACTTTCTTTAACAATGTAAATATCATATTAAAGATTGTAAGTTTATGAAAATACAGACTAAAATAAAGAATTATACAAACTGAATTAATAAATGCTGTTTAAATACCAATCTTCATGACGGATCTAAAATCCTCTGCCACTCAGAGGGTTGAACTGCACTGTTTTTCTGTCCCTTTTTTATCTTGCTTCTTTTAATGATCACCAAATGATTTTCTTTCCTGACCCGTATCATTTGCTATCTCCTTTCATGATCGTATCTGACTGCAGATAAGGATACTGCCTATTTTGTGTGTGTGTTGTTGTTGTTTTTTTCTTCTGGAACAAAAATCTCAAATACTGGCCTTGGCCAAAACTTGCCATATGCGTTTGCTCCAAAGCTCATCAGCTATCGAATTCCACAGTGAGTTGAAATAAGCTATCAAATGTATTTGGGTTTCTAACTTACATAAAATCTTGTATGGAGGGAAGCAGATGCAGTAAAATGACTTCTATTAACAATGTCTGGCCTCTTTCTGTACAAAAAATTTAATATTTGGATTTTTTGCAGAATGAAGTCCGTGAGATCTTCTACCTTTGTCTGGTTTACCTTACTGAAGAGTTTGCTTTGAGCTTGACACAGTCTTTCACTACTGGGAACACTTTTACCAGAGCATTTCTGAATGTCTCCCAGCTATATGTTTGGGAACCTGGATCGCCAGCAGGAACTTTCCAATCCCTTTGCTGCAATTGAGTGCTTCGCCTTTTAGATTTACAGTGGCAATGCTGACGTTCTGTAGTTCCGGAACAGGATGCAGTGTGAAGTGGAGTTCCAACTGCTCTACGAAGGATATCACAGAACCTTTTCTGTGATGGTAGCAGCTGGTTTCATCACATCCTGCATGGTCTCGATTATGAATGCTTTGACTGGGTTTGCTGGTGCCAGTGGAACTTGCAATCTAGGAGTGGCTAATGCAAACTTTCCAGACTCCAGAGACATGCCTCGCTAATTATTTGGGCAACAGTGTAATATTCTAGCTAACTTAGTAGTCCTTGAAAGCTAAAATACTTAAGAACTGTCTAGTGAATGATTGCAGAGTTCTAGTATGTATACGACAAGTTCAAAGAAGGGTTAAATTTAGCCTTTATTCCAACTCAAGATGATTCCACTAATGGCCCCCCATGGGCTTACAGTAAACTTCCACTTGAGCTTTAACTTAAGATATGAAATAAGAAACTAGTTTAATACAATACAAAGTCCAAGATCAGGACAACCAATATCCAGAAGCACTTAAAAAAATTTTCACGAATTTTTTTAATGCTTTGTGGATGCACATTTGATTTTTCTCCCCGTAAGAAAACGTGGAGAATCCTGATTTTTAATTTCCCTTTGGCACTAAATAAAATACCTCGTTATTGAAGAAACAATCTTTTTAGCATAAATTTGTGTGATCAATAATTTGGCTCCATATCTGCTTGGCATACATCTCAAACTAAAACATTCTACATAGAAACATCATTGATTTTACAACTACTAATATGGTACAAAGTTCAAGATCCAGACTCGTTGGGACTTCGGATATTCAAGATTTGGGATTTTTCCAGATATGAGATTATCAATTTATACATAGTAAGATGGCAATCAGAAATTATACAATTAAAAATTTAAAATCATGCTTTATGAAATAAAGAGCATTTAGGAAAGGGTATCAAAATTTACAAAAAAAGGGGCTTAATATTTATTTGCTTACTATATTAAACATTTCTTTCAATGTAAGCTGTTTAAGTTGCTTCATTTTTTTGTGCTAATATTTTCTCTTTAATTCTATAAACAGACATAATTTCTTGTTCAGTTACAAAGTTCCACTGTTCAAGTCCTGTAGTTGCTGTGTCAAGAATTCCAACTAACTTGTCAATTGAATTTTTTTTATTTTCAATAACCTCTCAGTCACTTTCTTCGCTCGCAAGTGAAAAAATTGAGAGTTTCACTCACGCATGTATCAGATTTGGGCAATGCTTATAGGGTCCTACAAAATTTTCATAAATATTATAGGGGTTTTAGGGTTGCGAAAAAAATCTTAGTGATAAAAAGGGGCCGTGACTGAAAAAAGTTTAAGCCCTGTTTTATAGCAAAGACAGATGACATTTTATGTCAGGGATTATTTTTTTCGATATTTTAAATACTTTTATCATCTGCAAGCTGACGAATCATTAAATTTCTAACAGAATTTAATCTTGCCATGAACTTAATCATGCCAGGGTTGTTAATCTTGCCATCTTCACTTGATACAGAAACATTATAACATTTTTCTACACAAGTAACAATTTCCATATACATACAATCATTCTGGTGATTCATTTTCATTTTAAATAAAACATTATATTGAGAGATATCGTCTGCAGAAACACTTAAAAAAATGTTTTCAATTTCCCAAATTTTTATGCCGATTACTAGGGTTTGAATAAAATATTTTAATGATATTTCTCTTGTAACAAGGAAGGTTTAAAGTAGATTTAAAAAATACTTATCATAAAAAAATTCTGGAACTGTATTTAGTGCGAAATCTATGCAAATAAATTTTTATAAAACAAGTACCCGAAAACGATGCGTTTATACGTATCAATCAAAATGGAATAAAATTTCAGAACTCGGTCATACATTAATATATGTCTGATTTAATGTCAATCTAACTAAAGTGGGGCCAGGGGAGGTTAACTTCCTGTCAGTTCCATGCTTTAGATAGCAATGAGCATTAAGTAAACTATCTCTTCCAGTACATGAGTTTTAAACAAAATGTAATTTGTTGCTCCAATAAATAGAAAGGTCTCTAAGACAAGATTTTGTATTATATTTTGTTAGGTATAATGGGTCACATGTAAAATACAGTTTTTCTAAATTTATATCACAATAATAAAATATTTGCACTGTGGGGTTCCACCCTTTTATCTAACAACTAAATATGGAGGAACTAGTGAACATCTACGTAAATAATCGCTCAAGTTCTGTAACAGGAACGCATCACTCGAGAAGGGTTAATTACTCTTTATTGCACAAAATAAGAATGAATAGTTGGCCCCTTTCTCAGGGCGTACAGCAAAGCCTCTGCTTGGGCATGAACTCAAAAGTGAGAAATAAAAACTTAAGTAATGCTTAAATAAAGAGACATACAGTCAAAAGCTGTTAATCTGGACACCCATAATCCGGACCTCAAAGCTACAAACTTTCTGCGCATGTGCATATGCATTTACGCATGCGCATATGCGTTTGCGCATGCGCGTTTAATATATAATGGAGGGTATAAACTAAGCTAAAATTATCTATTTCAGTTAATGTTGCAGACTGCATTGTTCTTTAATCTTCAAATTCGATCTGGCTTATTATTTTTTGCAGACTGTTAGAGCAATTTTATAAAAGTAAGCTTGAACTTTCGATTATGTCAAAAAGAATTTCCGATTCTGAAGCTGCCAAAGTATATCTACAAAGCAAAAGCACGTTTCGATGTCCACCAAACAAAAAGTGGAATTGCTGCAAAAAATGGATAAAGGGATATTCTTTCTTTCTCTAACCATTCCAAAATCTGTTTATCAATTTCATGCTGCTCTGCGGGGGAGGGGGAACGTCGCGGTGCGCAATGAACTGGAAGTTGATCTGTCAGCACTATCCTCATCCTCAGGGCAGATGTTTTTATTTTATTCAGCTTATAATTCATTACTAAATGTAGTATTTCATCTCGAAGTACTCCGTCTTTGATATGATTTATATCAAATTCATTATAAATATCACAAATACACATCAAATAGTTTTCTGATTGCAATTTTCTAATTTCGACTATGCATAATGTACGCCGTACGCATGCACACATTGAAAGAAATGTTTAATAAAGTAAACAAATAAATATTAAGCTTTTTTTTGTAAATTTTGGTACCCTTTAGACCATAATTGTTCTTTATTTCATAAATTACGGTTTCATATTTTTAATTTTATAATTTCTGCATGCCATCTTACCAGATTTAAACTGATGATCTATAATCCAGAATCGCCCAAGTCTCGATGAGTCCGGATTAAAGACTTTTGACTGTACTAATTCAGAAGTCAAACAACAGAAATCAGCGTTATATATTCAAATTTTCACAGGACTAGTTTTGATGGTTTTACCGAACCACCATCTTCAGCCGCAAAAGCGCAAATGAACGAGATAGGATATAATGATTAGATAAAATAAGAAAACCTGGACAGAAAATAAGCTAGTGGCACCATCTGTTGATGAAACCAGAACTAAAACATAATTTCTTTAAAGGCTGAAGGCAAAGATGGATTGGAAATCCAGGGTGTACCTCGGGAAGGCCTGCTACTCTACACGCGCCCTAAAAAGCTCTTCTTGGGTATATGATGATTACATGCATATGAATGGGAAAAAAAGGAACTTGGGTATATAATATTTACACTTTCGTCTATTTTTTCACGGTGGTACTTTTCAAAGAAAATAACACCACCTTTAGCAAAGCACAACCCAATATTGCAAGTTTCGCACATGTACCGGGATCCATATCAGATTCACTATCTGAATGCAATTCGTGTAGTACTTTCAGTGATTCAGAAATGGTTCGCCCTCTCCGATCCATTTGGAAAATAATTAAAATGAAAAAAAAAAAAAAAAAAAAAAAATCTGATATTATATCTACAATTAGAAATTATAAAATTAAATTAAACATCTACAGTTCAAAACTATCAAACACAGCACTAACTACACTTATTTGAATGAAAGAGAAAAAAAAAAGCTAACTGATTAAATTAGCCCATCAGTTTCTTAGTTGATAACCACCCCCCCCCCAAAAATGAGAAAAAAGAAAGAGAAAAAGAGGAAATGAAACACAGATGTGGATCTACTTTTCTACAATTAGAAATTACAATTAGAAAATCTACAATTAGAAATTATAAAATTAAATTAAACAAACATCTATAGTTCAAAACTATCAAACACAGCACTAACTAAACTTATTTGAATGAAAGAGAAAAAAAAAAGCTAACTGATTAAATTACCCCATCAGTTTCTTAGTTGATAACCACCCCCCCCCCCAAAAATGAGAAAAAAGAAAGAGAAAAAGAGGAAATGGAACACAGACGTGGATCTACTTTTCTATTGTCAATGAATTGATCGGAGAGCTGCAGAGAAACAAAGATACAGTTATTGGTCTAGCCCTAGTCTCTCAGTAATCCAACTCTGGGCACACCTGATGTTCGCCATTCGATTTTAGGTAAGATTTCAAGGTAAAAATTTTAAACTACTACAGAGTAATGAGGTTAGCATAAAGCCAAGAAAATAATGTAGAAATTTCTATTCAAACAATTCCTTTCATATCCTAAAATAAATCTGGAAGATTTCTTTGAAAAATGAGGGTCTTTAAAAATTAAACATGGCTAAAATATATGGATTGTTTTGTGCTGTCATCTAGTATAAATAAAGAAGGTTCAGAATAACCTATAAATCTTTTATCATTCAATTTTTCTGCGCATACAGAAGGAGATTTTTAGGTGTGACCAGACTGGGCACATTCTGCCGCAAAGGGTTAAATTTGATTTTATAGTCTGTTTTGGATTTTTTCATACTTTCATATTTATGCCCAAGTAAATAGAAATGCACAATGCTTCATTTATACAATTTAAATAATATACATACATATAACAAATATTGCAGCTTGAAAGTTACATTTAAGCAATTTAAAAATTTGACCAATTCGACTCACGTAACGGTAAATTGAATGCATTACTTAACGTCAGAATTTACAAGCATCAAAATACTAAGAATTTAGGAAAACAAGAGGCAGCAAAATTTAGAAGACTATATGTCTAAAGGTGGTACATTTAAAGGCAAAGATCGGGTATATATACATACTACATATTTTTATATTTACTTACTAATACTTCAACAAAGACCAGATAAATTTTATGCAAGTCATCTAAAAAAACCTACCCACATAAAATTCATCAGCAATTACACGCAAGGAAACATAATCAAATGAAACATCAAGAGTTTTTCAAATTGTAGCATATGACAGTTATCGGTCTAAAGGAGAATGATGGAAACCTTTCTAAAGAAAACTGGCATTCCTCTTAAAATAACACATCATAATAAATAAGGTTCTAATGTATTTTTAAACTACAAATAATCAAGCATAAAACTTTAGCATTAATTTAAGACCATAATTTCATTCTTTACAAATTCAAAACATAAATCTAATACCGGAACACAAAACGAAACGTCATATAACCACCAGTAATTTCGTTGCAAATGTTTAGCAATATATAGTTTAACAAATGAACTTCACTCTGAATTATATGCCATAAAAGACTTACAATATAGTACTTTTCGTCTCCGAACACTATCCACTGAATCCTCTGTCTTAACTTCAGAAATATGTTTCAAAATTTGTCATTCGCGCACCAACTCACATTACCATTGCACCGTAAATACAGCCATGTGACATGAACGCTATTGCCACACTGTTTCCTCTTAAACCAGTCGATTCAGGTGAACGCAATTTGCAAACATGGATTCGTTGCAAGGAGTTGTTGGAGTAAACAAACGAAAAGGCAGCAACTCGCTCGGTTGTGAAGTTCGCTCATGGACCTTATAAGAACTAGACCATGATAGTATTTGTTTATAAAGCATAATTTTAAGTTTTAATATTTTGGCAACATTGATATTAAATTGTAAAAAGAACGAGTTAAAAATGTATCTGGAAGAGAGAGTTTTTTTTCATTATGATGGTTTGGTAAAATGTGGTAAGATTTCTTACGTCTGATTTTCTTTAATAAAGTTTTCTTTTTGTATATTGCCATAATGTACTTTTGTTAGAAGTGGATGATTCTTTTGAGAATGTTATATATATGCCAATCTTAAAAAACCAACAGACCAACCCAAACGCGTATTTTTTTTTCCTCCCTAGGAAACACAACCTGCGAATAAATTTGGCGATTTATCAGGTCTTGGCGAAATTGTGACACCGAGCGCATGTGCAGAAGGAAATAACGCTGTCTATGTTTGAAATTTGTGTTGCCTACCAGTATGTTAAACGACGTGGAAAATGAATTTTATAAAATTTTATTTGATGGATATTGCTACGAAGTAGTGTCTTCCAAGTTCGGAGAAAAAGAGGATTTCGACTTTGAGATCAGATGTGATCTTAATAGTGAAGATAGATGGTAGAATTGGGAAATACATTTTGAAGCTGTTTCCCACGTGCATTGGATTGTATCTTCCAAAACAAAACAATGTAAATCGGAAACAGCCAAGTTTACTTTTAAACCCAACCTCCTAACAGCCGACGAAAATCAAGGAGGCAATCTGATCCAAGGCCAACTAGATATCTACAGGCCTGCTCCAATCTGATGATCACATGATCTGACGTCATAATCTTAGTCCTTCAATTTTGTAAGTTGACATTGCTTCGCCGTAGGACTAGTGCTAGTGAAATAATTGTTTACATGTGTTTTTTCTTCTGAAAAATTTTGTATTTTACCGGAAAGTAAAATATTATATTGTGAATTCGAATTTATAAGAAAAAGTGTGTTTTAGAATGCCAAGAAAGTGTAGTGTATCTAAATGCCGATCAAATTACGATAGCAGTAATGAACATGTGTCGACTTTCAAATTTCCTTCGTATCCTGTACTCTCTCAGAAATGGATAAAAAATATTAATCGCAAAGATTTTGTAGCTGGCAAACACAGTATTGTATGCATTAAGCATTTTGAAGAAAAAATTTGTCGTTCGAGAAGATAAAGCTGTTCGTGATGATGGAACGGTATTAGTAATGGTTTTGCAAGAAAAATAGATCTTCCCTCTTCATGGATATTCATAACCAAAGGTAAGATCTTTTGGCTATCGAAATTAGAATTTTTAAACTGTTCAAAAGTGCTTGTATCTTTAAAAATATTGGACGATTTAAATGTAAGAGTTTTTTGCAATGAAAATGAAATTCCCATTGAAAAGTTCAAATGGATATTTGGAGAAGAAAAGCTATGTGATAAATGGTTTAAACTTGAGACAGTGATTAGCCATTTGGATGGTTTTTCTGCGTCTGATATTCATGATGACTGCAATTTAAATTTAGATAAAATATCACAACTACTGTTGAAATGTGCAGAAACAGAAAATAATCCACATTCTGAGAAATTTAAGTTTTTGTATGAACAGATTCAATTAATGCAAATGAAACAGCATTCGTATAGTGCAGAATTCTTTGCCTGGTCTTGTTATATATTTTATTGTAATCCAAACAGCTACAATATTATACGTAACAGTAAGTATTTTATATTGCCTCATCCGTCATACTTAAGGAAGTTATCTCTGAAAATTGGCCGAGCAGATTCTGGATTACAAACAAGTCACTGGATGTATTTGAAAAAAAAAAAAATGTTAAATTTTAAATGATTCTGAAAAAATTGTCAATTTATTATTAGATGAAATATATATAAAACCAGAAGTTTCGTATAAAAGTGGTCGTGTTTTAGGTTTTTCGGATAATTCGCAGATGGAGGCCACAACTCTGCAAACATTTATGATAAGCTATATTAGCAAAAAACAGAGATATTGTAGCAATGTTTCCCGTAAAAAACTTATCATCACATCAATTATTAATATCTACAAAACAAGTAATTGACCATGTACAGTCTTGTGGCTATCGAATCATAACTCTAATATAAGACAATAATAGAATTAACAGAAATATATGTTCAAAATGCTTTGTGGTGGTGCATTAAAATCCTCATTTATAAACCCTACCATGCATAATCTTCCTATATTTACATTATTTGATACAGTTCGTTGGTAAAAGATTACAATTGGGTGCCCCTCGTTTATTGGCGATTCTTTCTTGATGCCAAGATCGGCGCCAGGAAGTCACAATTTCAAGATGGCCGCTACACAAAACCAAAATAAGAAGTCGAAGAATTACATAAGGTCTGTGTCCACGTATACATCGATCTGTTTTTACTTAAAAAAACATCCTAGAATTGCACAAACTAGGCATTGCGCCTTAAATATGTCCATGTACACATCAATCTATTTTCATTTAAATAAAATCAGGAAGCTAAAACAAATTGAAAACTATTGTGGTAACCAGAAGTGAGGTTTCATCGCCAAAATTTTTTTAAAAATGTCGTCAATCGAAGGGGCACCCAATTCTACTCTAAAGCCAGTTCATTTATCGAAATCTATACGAAACAACTGGTTCAATCAGAACGATTCAAACCAAACATTTTTTATACCGTCATTTGAAAACTCAAATATTGTTTACAATTCCAGTGTTCTACATTTAAAAAGGATTGTATAAAATAGAAAAAAACGATAATATTAAAATGGCTCCAACTTTATCAAGGAAAGTTTTATTTCCGTCTTCTATAGAGGAACAGAATGTAAGTACTGCTATTAAACTTTTTGATGAAAAGACTTTAGCTGCTCTGCAAATTGAATCGCAGAATAATAGAACTTGGTATGGAAAAGATGTCTTAAGAACTAAACATTTTATTGATGTATTTTTTAAAGTGGTGGAAAATTGTGAATGTTAAACACTCTAAAAAGGCCTTACAGTTTCGAGATGTATTTATGCAGCTTATAAGGACAACAGAAGATAAAAGCTTAGAATGTTTATCACAGTTTTGTTCGTGGCTTATATCATGGAACGATTTTTGCCCAACAACAAAAAACTTGTAAGTCACAAATTGGGGAAACTGTCAAAAGAAGCCCAAGTTGCTCTTCTCCATACAACAGCAACATTGAATGAACTTTCAAAGTATTTGTTAAAAGAATTTAAATTACCTTTTATTCCTTCAGGAAAATTTCAGACAGATAACCTTGAGGGACGTTTTGGTCAATTTCAACAAATGAGTGGCTGTAATTATAATGTATCCTTACAGCAGATTATAGAGTCGAAAAGAAAACTAAAATTAATTAGTTTGCTTAAAATGCAATTTCTGAGAAAGGTTCATTTATTTTATAACATTTTTCTTGTCATGATATTGAAGATTTTAATGATGATCAACTTATTGATAAGGAATTTGGTGATGTTTTGCATCAATCCAATGATGTTAATGTTACAGAAAAAGATACAATGTGTCTAATTTACATTTCTGGATATGTTTGTAGATCTGTATTGAAGCATATAAATTGTAATCTCTGCCAGGAAAAAATTAATTCTTGACAAAGAAATGATAGTTGAATATTGGGAAGATTTTGCGTACTTAGCTGCTATTGATCGAGGTGGTTTATTTTGGCCAACAGAATTCGTGCTTTTCATTAATACCTCTGCATTTAAAATATTTTCAATCCTAATATCTGAAATGTATGAGAAATTATATATTTCATCAAAAAATCAACATTTCTATATTAATAAGTCTCGTCACAGAGAAAGTTGAAAACAGGGTTATTTGGAATGATAGTATTTGTGAATGTGGCAAATCATTGCATGTCACATGCATTTCCAATATATTGCAGAATATTTACTGTAAGGTTAAAAATAACAATTTAAAGGAAACCAATGACCAAAAAAGAAAAATGGGTAAATTAAATAATTCTGGAATTTAGGTGAATTTTTTATGTAATTTTAAAGTTAAATAATTAGTATTTGCAAACTGTGCATAACTGAGCCATAGAAACTTGCTGCTGCCTACTAGTGGCTGAGTGGTAAAATAGCTGAAAACTGATAGTTTGGTCTGGAGTTCCAATCTCGGCGAATAGGCTGGCTGATAATTACCTTATAGAGGCAAATAGAATTGATAATTACCTTATATGATCAAATAGAATCAAAAGTTAATTAAGTTTGAAAATATTGACAAGTGTGATAGAAGCTGATGAACCAACAAAGAGGAAGATGTTAATTTTAAAAGTGAAATAAAAACTTGGGAAATATGGGATGATAATGCGATAGCAAGAAATCTAATGAATTAGACTGTGACAGCTCCATAAGCTTTAAAATATGTGAATGAACAGAATACAAAGAAATGATGGGAGAAAATAAAAAATGAAATGGCGGCAAGAACAGAAGATATTCATATCAAATGTAGAAAGAATTAGCTCAACTGAAAATGAGTCAAACGAATCTGTAGATGCTTACATGAATACAGCTGTAATTCTGAAAAGTAAAAGCATTCAAGTTGGGATGAAATAAGAGATAAAAAATTAATTTACCTCATACTAGAAGGACGTTAAAGTTGATTGTTGTTAAAATTATCAAAAGTAATAAAGAGAAAGATATAGCTTCAATTATACAAGCTTTAAGATAAACAAATTGTAGATCATGATTTAAAAGCAATTTTTACCAAAACTAAAGCAGAAGAAAAGACGAGCGAGAACAATGAAAAAAGATTATGTAGTATGATGTATGAAATGATAGAAGAACTAAGTTCAATGGAGGCTCATGAAGTCTGGAAATTAGTTGAAAGATCTATCAATAAGAAAATTACGATGTTTACGAAAACTACAAAATAAGATTTTTGATGTAAAAACTGCATATTTAAATGGATACTTGAATAAACCAATTTATATGGAACAACCACCTGGATTTAAATCAGATTCAGACTGTCAAGCATTAATAGATTGGATAAAAAAAAAAAGTAGTAGTTCAAGGCACATTAATCGAAATCCTTTGCCGTAAGCCAAATCAACTAGCTAAATCATGTTTATTTTTGTAGACCTCAAATCAGGGGCTACAATGATAAGCCTGTTTTGGCATTCATATTTCAAAAATTTGAATGGCAAACTTTTTGTTGATGTGAATTAATGATGTTTAACTTAATAATTAATATCTTATAACATTGTAATGATATGCTGGATTTTTCATTGCTTAATACTGCATGCATCTTTTACTATTTGTCTATTATTAAATAAATTTACAGTGTATATTTAATCAGATGTTCTTTCATAAGAATTTTTATAGCATGATATGGTGCTCATTGGGGTAGATTGCATAGTTATGATCTCACTTTGTTTTCAGGGAATTTTATAATATATTTTTGGATATGCTACAAGATTTCTCGTATAATGTTCATGCTTTAAAACATCTTTAAAATAAAACTTTTTTTGTCATATATTTCCCAAAATGTTCACTTGTATGTTTATAATTAAAAAGTACCTTAAGATATTGGATTAAATGTTGAAATGTTTTTATGAGAAAGAAAAAAAAAATGGCTTTTGCTTCAATAGAATTGCATGTAAAATCATAAATGTAAATCAAAATTTTATTTAAATTAATATGTTTATGAATTTTGTTATGAAATATCACATATCTTTTTAATATTTAAGCAGTATAAATCAATCTAATTAATTTAAGCAATACAAATTAATGTAGTAGTATGTGGTGTATAAAGAGTTTAAATATTTTTAAAAGAAAAAAAAAAAAAAAAGAATGTCTAAATTAATTGAATACTAAGCATCTGTAAACTATATCCATTTTGGTATATAGAATGATATAGATGATATATTGTAATATCAGTGAGTCGTAGAAACTTATTCAAGTTTATGAAGTTTATTTTTGTGGACCTCGCATCAGAGTCTGCAATAATAATGTTCCATTATTAATATTTAAAAAATTCAAATGACAACTTATTGCAGACGTGAAATGATAATTTCAACTGGCTAATCAGTATCTTATACTATCTTAATGACTCGCAGGATTTTTCATTGCTTAATATTGTGTATTTTTAATGAGATGTATTAAGAGTGTATTTTTAATAAGATTTTCTTTCATAAGAATTTTTTGGAGCATGATATGATGCTCATTGGGATTGATTGCATAGTTATGATCTTGCTTTTTTTAAGAGAACTTGAAATATATTTTTGAATATTCTGTGTAATGTTTTTGCTATAAAACATCTTTAGAATGAATCTTTTTTCAATATGTAGACTAAACTTCAGATATACTTTTAATATATTAATGTATTAATAAGATTTATGTATTTCACTTAATGTCCACATGTGTATTTATTATTAAAAAGCATCTTAGGATCTCTGATTGAATCTTGAAAAATCTTTATGGGAATAAAGAAAAGAAAGAGTTCATTTTGCTTCAATATCATTGCACCAAAAACAATTATAAAGCAATATTATATTAGAATTAATGAATTGATATTAATTTTATTATGAAATACTATATGTGTTTGTTTAGTATTCAAGCAGTATAAATCAGTCTTCATAATTTAAGCAATATAAAATCATCTGAGAGCTTTAACATATTTTTCTTTTTATTACAAAATGAAAACATCTCATGTTTAGTTCATTACATATGTTATATTTTCATTGATATTATCATACCGTATAATTTTTATAAATAATTTTTGTGTCCATTTTATTTCCGTATAAAAGTTCAGATATGTTTCAGTTTAATTTAAATCAGCTCTGCTAAATTTACAATATCACTCAAATCTTATTTTTATTTTCTGTTTAATAAATCGGTATTTAGTATTTAAATATCATTACGATATAACATAGTACGTTATTATTCCTAAAATTGGAAATATTAGTTGTAAAAATTAATTTAACTTGACTTTTGTGTTGGAAATAAAACGCTGCGTACTACATAAATGAAACAGTCAGCTGCGTCTACCGTGGGAACGATCGCCTTCGATTGTGACGTCACAAATCGGTGGAGCAGGCCTGTAGATATCTAGTTGGCCTTGTCTGATCAAGGAGGCAGATCAGCACTGATCCTTGGATTATACGATTTTTGGTTTAGCAGTCTGTTGGAGGATATGAGATAATATTAAACCAATGTAAGAGAAAAACGGCGTCAATGACGAGTATAACAAATGGCTGTCTACGATTTTAGAATTTAGCATAACGCCGAGAGTAATTTCCATCTTTACACATGGCCATTATTAGCAAAACCGATTCTGTAAATTGCTCCCAACAAATTGGCAACAATATTACGTTTCGCGCGATTGCAGCATAAAATTGAATGTGTAAGTTACATATGATATTATTTTTTATTGTTTTATTAATTTAAAATTTGTTCTATTAATCATTTAAAGTGAAAAGGTTTATTTTCAGAGGTGTAATAAATTAATGAGACAGTTTTGTTTCATTTCAAAGTTATTTTAGCTTGGAATACTTATTTTTTTATGGTCAACGAAAACGGAACTTTTCCTTCTTGCTGTTAGGTCAGTTGAAAATTTGTCCGGGTTGTTTAAAAAGGGTGTCTCTGGCTTTTACTTCCCTAACTATTGCTTCTAACTCTTTCCTTTCATTCAGAGCCTGATTATCACGTAGACCCGCAGAGCCTTAGGTTTTTAAAAGATCGGAGAATTGCAAAATCACCCACTGCTTGGCGCGCTTTTAAACACAAACTCGGTATCCATGTACACATCGACCTATTTTCACTTAAAAAAACATAAGAGAATTGCACAAATTAGGCATTGCGCAGTCCCTTGACTTTGTCCATGTACACATTGATGTATTTTCACTTAAAAAGTCAAAGGAAATTGACAAAAAATCAGTTCTTACTCTTGTAAAAAGCGCCAAATAAATGGGCGATTCTGCACTTCAGCTAAAAGATCATGAGCTTGTCTTTTAGTTCCTCCATAATTTAAATTTCTCCTTTATAAAAGTCATACAGTTGGCCACTGAAAGTAAGTGACTTTATAAAAATCACTTACTTTCAGTGGCCAACTGTATGACTTACTTCAGTGAAAGTGACTTTATAAAAGTCATACAGTTGGCCATTGGTTGTAAATACACTCTTTAAAAGGCTCTGTGCCTAGGTATCTTCGAGGGCTTAATCTGGCCCTGCTTCCATTTACAAAGTTTCTTAAATTTAAGACTGAGAATTTAATGCATTGAAGGTAGAAAGGTTCTTTAAATAAACTTAAATAGAGCCCTTCATGGGAAAAACTCTAATTCATAAAATATTTTTTTTTTTTAGTAAGTTAAATGCAAAGTGTTCTGTACCTTCTGAAAAGCAGAATTGGTAAAATCCTAGTATATGGTATGGCATTGGCGCGATTTTGAAAATTGTCGCCAACACCAAACTGACTTGTTTTTTACTCATCATAAATGTCGCATTTACTGCTCATCATAAAGTCCCCAAAAGTAGCCAAATCCCATATGTACCGTATTCTAGGATTAAACCGCAGAATTATTGCATTGTTGCTACAAGCCTTCAGAAGTAGGAAATGCTTTGCTGAGGATATATCATGAATTTGCTTGTTACCAGTTTTATATATATATAGATGAGAATCAGTTTAGATTAATTATGCTTCATTTTAATTTTGATTATACTTCATTTTAACTGGATTTTTTTTATTTTGATTTTTTAAGTTGAATTCATTTTAATTGACCCCATTTTATTCTAAAATTAGTAATTGCTTATAGTAAACTTTCCTGGACTACATCATTTTTTGATTAATCCATATCATATGACTTTTACATAATGCTGTGGGAAAAATAACTTATGTAAGCCTTCAAGCAATAATAATTTTAGAGCTTTATTAATTAATCAGTTAAAATGTATCAAAAGCGAAACGCTGAATTAAGACTTCATCCTGAGCACATCACATATTGCTTCTACTTCTTGGCCAGTGTGGACAGCTGCTACCCTGCTCTCTTCTTATTGCAATAATATAAAAAATGTAAATGTTTTGAAATGGGTACAGTCAGAGTGCCAAGTTACTTGTAGCCACAAATGTCAATTCAAATAGAAACTAGTATTTAAAACCAGCCTAACTACTTCTTAATTAAAGGCTGCCAGGTTTTGTTTTCATTATTGATCCTGTATGTAAACTTCAACATCTATCTACACTATCAACCTTTCAACATCACTGCATCAAGACATACATTTATATAAATAACTGGTGGCTTATATATATAGTATACACACCCACCCACTTATGTAAGTGCATTTATTCAATATTTAAATTTTTTTTTTATATATATAAAATATGCTGAAAAAAAGGTGAAATACACATGTGCACAAAATAATAATAATCTTACATTAATTCAAAGTTTTGAGTTATTTTTATCATAGGTGTGATAGGATTTTATAAATAGTTTTTAGCATCTGCTAACGTTGTGCTCTGAAAGTATTTACAACTCGGTCATAAAATTCAACTGGAGTGAAACCTTTGATCCGAACACCTCATTTCATGAGCAAATTATCTCAACAAAAGTGTCTCCGGTGCCGAATGACGTGTCCAATTACAAACGTTTAAGGTTGGCAGTATGTGATTTTTCAAAAGTGTTTTGAGGATTAATATCCAGGGCCTTATGGAAACATCATTTTAATAATTTCCATTGCTTAACTCTCATTAAGAAAGCCTGGCAGCAAGTACTAGGACTTCAGCCCGGAAGAGCTTGCATGCATAGACTTTGATCACTTTGGGGTTAGAGTAGATTCAAGGGTGCCCCTTGGATTATCGCAAAGTTGTTGTTTCGTTTATGGTAACCTGAATAGTTGAATGCTATGGAAACCTTATTATGATGTAATTGGTTGCGTGGTTGTTGTGAATTTCAATGATGGGAAAAGATTTGAAAAGGCTTGTTTGTGTGTCAGATTTTGGATAAGATGTACAATGTTAGTTAGTGGTTTTACATGGTAAAATGTCTGAATGTTATAAGATTAACTTGAAGTTTCTGCACGATTTGGAACGAAAGGGCAAAAAGCATTAATTGACTGGTGTGTAAATGAAGGTTTACTTAGTAGCGATTATAAGTGCCCTGTTAGTAGGAAGGAAATGCTTATAGTTGAACGTCGGAGGATACCAATATTACAGAGGATATTTTTGACTCTTATTTTTGTGAATTTATGTGGCAATGCCAGTGTACAGATTTGTTACTACTCTTATAAATGCCCTCAGATGTATGGCGTCGCTAAATGTGGCGATATGTTATTTGTATGCCAACCTTTTTGACGTTGAAACTTTATTTTGCTGGAGTGGTTGATTGGTTTGGTGGGCATTTTGAAATGGCTTATGTTGCAATGATAGACGTGGTGCCAAAATTTCAGTCGCATATTTTTGATTCTGTGCAAGCTAAATTTAGTATTAACACTTTACCAACCGCTAGTGGTTGAACAGCATATGCACGTCCGACTGGCCACTCAGCCGCAGATTCTCCCTAATAATATAATGCAGATGATATAGCAAATAGTTGTTTATCGCCATGGCTGCCGATTGATAGGCTATTTTTAGAAAATGAGGATAAGTCTCAGTATTTAATACAGTGCATGTCTGAGGACACGTGAGCTTGTGATATTGTTAACAGTTATCCGGCAACTGGTGAAAATTATAATAAAGTGGTAGAATGCCTAAAATCTCATTTTGGTCAAGATGAATTACTTATTGAGTTCTACATACAAGAACTGTTAAAGTTAGTTGTAAAAAATGCTACTGGCAATAACCGAAAATTAGACACTGTTACACTGTACGATAAACTGGAATCCTATTTGAGAGCTTTGGGATCCATTGGTTTGGCATCGGATAAATATTCTGCCATGCTTTTCTCTCTCATTGAATCTTGCATACCGGAGGACATTTTTAGGGTGTGGCTGCGAAATCCGATAGTACACTGGATGAGTTAGCGGAGAATCCATACAGTTAGAAGCTAAAAAGCTCGTTATTGTTTATGAAAATGGAAGTACAAGGAGAGGAGCGAGTTCTCTTAGCGAAATCTGGGTTTTCAAATAAATTTGAAAAAAGGAGAGAAAGAAAAGATGACTAAAGCTTTTAATCAACTGCCAGCTGCAGATTTATTTTCAGGAATTTTTGAAAAGAGAAAACAAAACATAGCTTGTGTATCTTGTGAAAAGGCACACGAGAGCAAAGATTGTTTTAAGGCTCAAACTCTGAATTTCCAGCAGAAGCAAAGATAGATAAACAAAGATATCTTAAAGGATAAGAAAGTCTGCTTTATACGTTTAACAGCTGGACATCGGTCATAATTTTGCAAGACAAAAATTAAATGTATTCTTTGTGGAAAAGGACATTTGGTTTTTATGTATCCAGAGCTGAAAACTAATAAATTTATTAATAATTCTCTTAAATCTGAAGAATCAAAACCAAGCAATAACAGCCTGTCAAATCATTGTTATTCTAATGAAGTTCTACTTCAGACGTTCGTTACAGGTTAGATTCAAATCAGGAAATAAAGAAAAACAAGCATGGGTACTTATCGACTCAACATTCATACATGTTGAAGACAACTGTAGATGAAATGGGTATGGAACCAACTGGTAACAGGTTTTTGATTCACACACGTTTTGGAGGATTAACGACGAAGGAGCATCCTCAGTATGAACTTGACATTGAATCCTTAAGCAATACATTTTCCCGTAAGATAGAAGCTCTTGATCAGTCTATTATTTGTGGAAAAATTCCACGATTAAAGAAAGGAGGATAACGGGAGAAAGAGTTAAAGGAAAAAAAGATATGGCTTAATGATTATGGAGAGAATTTCCCGATATCGAGATATTGATTGGAGCTGATTTTTGTGGTCATTGGTTTACGGGGAAAACTCATTATCTTAAGAGTGGCTTAGTCGCATATGAAACGCTTTTGCGTTGGCTGATTAAGGGGAAAATGTGGAACTACTCTGATATGCGCCCTCAAGTTGCCAAATTTCCCGCCAAACATTTTTGGCGAGAAACTTCACGCGGCCATATTACTATCTAAATTTTTTGTGTACATTTCAAACTTTAAGCCTAAAATATCTCCAAAAACACGGTTTTCGCACATGCAAAAACTACGTTTTGAAAACACGATTTAAGCTAAAAATCCGAAATAAAAACAAAAAATTTAGATAGCAGAAACGTAAAGTTTCTAACCAAAAATATTTGACAAGAATCCATGTACACAGCGACATGTTTTAACTTAAAAAAACATCTACGAATGGCACACTGTAGGCAACGAACGAATCTACGAACTACGCACACCTCGCTTTAATAAGTTAACATAACAACAATAAATTTCAA